GAAAATTAATAGGAACTTCAGCAAACGACGTTTCATTTCTTTGTTTATGCTTCGATTATTTCTTTGCGAAGCAAAATTAAAACTGTAATTACGTTGATGAGTATTGCGTAACCTAACCTATTTTCACTCTGGTTAGTTTCAAATTAGGTTAATTTCATCAGAAGTCAGTTACTTCATAATCAGTTACATACAGTTAATAAATTTTTATTAATTGAAACATTGCTTGAAGTAATATCTTTTATTAAGGTAGTTCGATTATTTTATATAATATCAATTTTATTAAAAGCAAAATGTAATAAAATTTAATAGTATACGATAATTAGACTATGGATGTGCATTTGCGATGACGAGATCCAAAACACATATAAATGTAACATATGTATGTATACGTTACATATGTAACTCGTAATTTAAACACTGTTGATGTTATAGGTTACATGATTTACGTAGTTCGCAGACGTTGATACATTGCAAATGCATTATCATCCTTAGTATAAATAATGTATGAAAGAGCATGAAGATTTCACTTAACCTTATTAGGTCATAGATATGGCAAGGTTAATGATTATTACTGATATCAAAAATAGAATATGAAGATAAAAGCTGATGTAAATGTAGTGGAAATGTACTTCAAGGTTTCAACTGTTCACAATAAACATTTCAAGGTTTCATATTGAATATCTATTTCAAGGTCATTAACATATTGGTAAATTTTCTGTTAACAGCAAAAATATCTATGAGAGGATTACATTCTTTTCATTGAATGCGTTTAATGGCGATTTGAGAATTTGGGGGTTTGAGAAATTGGAGATTTGAGAATTTGGGGACTTGAGAATTAGGGGGTTTCAAAATTTGGAGATTTGAGAATTTTATGATTTGGAAATTTGAGGATTTGAGAATTTGGAATCTAGGGAATTTGAGGATTTGAAAGATGGGAAGCTAGGGAATTTGGGGACTTGAGAGTTTGGGACCTAGGGAATTTGGGGATTTGAGAATTTGGAACCTAGGGAATTTGAGGATTTGAAAGTTGGGAAGCTAGGAAATTTGGAAATTTTAGAATTTGGAACCTAGGGTATTTGGGGATTTGAGAATTTTGTGATTTGGAAATTTGAGGATTTGAGAAATTGGAATCTAGGGAATTTGAGGATTTGAGAGTTGGGAATCTAGGGAATTTGAGGATTTGAGAATTTGGAAGCTAGGGAATTTGAGGATTTGAGGATTTGGATATTTGGGAATTTGGAGATTTGGGAATTTGGAGATTTGGGAATTTGGAGATTTGGGAATTTGGAGATTTGGGAATTTGGAGATTTGGGAATTTGGAGATTTGGGAATTTGGAGATTTGGGAATTTGGAGATTTGGGAATTTGGAGATTTGGGAATTTGGAGATTTGGGAATTTGGAGATTTGGGAATTTGGAGATTTGGGAAAGCTAGAGAGTTTGAGGATTTGAGAATTTGGAAGCTAGGGAATTTGGGGATTTTAGAATTTGAAGATTTGAGAATTTGAGGATTTGAGAATTTGGAGATTTGGGAATTTGGGGATTTGAGAATTTAGGGATTTGAGAATTTGGGGATTTGAGAATTTGGAATCTAGGGAATTTGAGGATTAATAAGTTTGCATATTCCGATGTCCCAAAATTCCTATATCCCAAAATTCTCATGACCCAAAATTTCTATATCCCAAAATTCTTAGATCCCAAATTCCCTCTATCGCAGTGTCCCCACATTCCAAAGTCCCTATATCTCAAATCCCCTGAATCCCAAATTCCCTATATCCAAGAATCCTTATATCGCATTGACCCTATATCCAAAATCCTCTAAATCCCAAATTCCCTATATTCCAAAATCCTTACATCTCAAAGTCCCTATATCGCATTGTCCCTATATCCCAAATTCCCTAAATCCCAAATTCCCTATATTCCAAAATCCTTACATCTCAAAGTCCCTATATCGCAGTGTCCCTATATCCCAAATCCCCTAAATTCCAAACTCTCAATAACCCACATTCCCTGCATCCCAAAGTCCCCACACCTCAAAACTCACATCACCCAGAATTCCTATACAAGCATACACAAAAGCATGAGTTCCGACAGGTGGAAAGGTCACAAAAACAACGTCCTCCCAAACACCCCGGAAAAAGTTTGTTTCACTCGGAGCATCGAACTAATGTCAAAGTTCAAACTTGCGTTTTCGAATTGTCGTGACCCCATTATCCCTTTCTATCCCCGAATGGAAAACCCGTTCTACGAGGGATCTTTTCTTTCGTCGAGCAATTTCAGATAACGACGTCGCCCAGTCACCTCAGCCAAGCAAATGAAGTCTTACGCGAGAACGGCAAGATTATCGGAAGCAGCCGTCTGAATACCAAGCAAGAGTAACGAAAAAGAGTTGCAAAAAAAAAAAGAAAGAATGAAACGGAGGAAATAAAATTGCGACTCTTTGAAAGAAGCATCCTAAAGGTTCTCCGCGAAATCGTTGCACGACCATCTTCGAAAAGGTACGTCACCTTTGATCCCGTCGAAATATTCCTGGTTCGAGAAAACCGCGTAACCGAGGTCGATGCCGCCTCGAAAGGCTATCGAACTTTCCTACCAGATAATCTAATGGATATTACGGTAACCACGGACTTTAAATTAAAAAGTTATTACGGCATAACAGAAAGGAGATGCGTACGAACAAAGTTTATTACGGTGCTTTTATTATAATATAATGGATTTTAGATGGGGTGCAGCGGAGTTATGGATATGAGCTATCACGGTGATGGTTTAATATGGTAATTTGGGAACAGAAACAACGAGAGATTTCGAAAACGAGAGTTCAAACGAGTTAGAGAAGGGCCCGAGAAAGGACGGTGGGGAATTGGGTTGGGAACTTGGATATTTGAGCTTGGGGAATTTCGAGATTTATGGCGTGGGGAGTTGAGGTGCAGATTTGGGAGTTTGGGGATTTGCGAGAGTGAGGGGTTGAGAAGATGAGGGTTTGAGAAGTTGGGAATTTTTTTATTTGGGGATTTGGGGATTGAGGGACTTGGGAAGGGGGAGTTTTGAGAAGTGGGAAATTTGAGAATTTGGGGATTTGGGAAAGGGGAGTTTTGAGAAGTGGGAAATTTGAGAACTTGGGGATTTAGGGATTTAGAGATTTGAGAATTTGGGGATTTGAGAATTGGGGAATTTGAGAATTTGGGAATTAGAGAGTTTGGGGGTTTGAGAATTTGGAGATTTAAAAATTTGGAAATTTAAGAATTTGGGGATTTGAGAATTTGGGAATTTGAGAATTTGGGGATTTGAGAGTTTGGGAATTTGAGAATTTGGGGATTTGAGAGTTTGGGAATTTGAGAATTTGGAGATTTGAGAGTTTAGGGATTTGAGAATTTGGAGATTTGAAAGTTTGGGAATTTGAGAATTTGGAGATTTGAGAGTTTGGGAATTTGAGAATTTGGGAATTTGAGAATTTGGGAATTTGAGAATTTGGGGATTTGAGAGTTTGGGAATTTGAGAATTTGGGGATTTGAGAGTTTGGGAATTTGAGAATTTGGGGATTTGAGAGTTTGGGAATTTGAGAATTTGGGGATTTGAGAGTTTGGGAATTTGAGAATTTGGGGATTTGAGAGTTTGGGAATTTGAGAATTTGGGGATTTGAGAGTTTGGGAATTTGAGAATTTGGAGATTTGAGAGTTTAGGGATTTGAGAATTTGGAGATTTGAAAGTTTGGGAATTTGAGAATTTGGAGATTTGAGAGTTTGGGAATTTGAGAATTTGGGAATTTGAGAATTTGGGAATTCGAGAGTTTGGAGGCTTCAGAATTTGGGTATATGAGAATTTGGGGATTTGAGAGTTTGGGAATTTGAGAATTTGGAGAGATTTAAGAATTTAGGGATTTGAGAATTTAGAGATATGAGAATTTGGAGACTTGAGGATTTGTCAACTTGTAAATTTTAGAATTCGAAAATTTAGTAATCCTTAACTTTAGAGATTTGAGAATTTTATGATTTAGAAATGTAAAAATTCTTATGTCTCCAATAATATAATCCCTATGTCTCCTTCATGTACCACGTTCCAAAATGGAAGATACATAGACTTTTCGCAGTATAATAATTACAAATGTCAAGCTTAACATGCGAAATTTCGTTTCGAAAGTAATCCTCTTCCACAAAATATGATCTAGATCAACCATGATCACATCTGGTCAATGATAATTAAACTGTGATATATCAAGATCTGAGAAGTACAAGTAAGTCACATAATTCAATAGATCCATATTCCATTAATTACATCAGGTATGCAGACTTTGCAGACTCTAATGTATTATATGCACACAAACATCGGTCTAGCAATTATTAAATAAAGATTGTAATCAATAATAAGTTCTCATACATTAATATATAATTATCTTGTATAATAAGATTTTGCATACAGTTAGGTCTTTAATCGAATATCTTCAAACACCAAAACCTAGCCAACCCATTCCTACACAAAAAGATCCTGTCAGATAAAAGCAATCTAAGTCAAAATTCGAAAAAATCAAACCTAACAATTATTAAAATAAACGTGACCTAAATTCACGTTGACTCCAGTTCATTCACTTTACTGTTAAAAAGTTCTGACATAATACAACAAATAACATAGTTCAAACAAATGAAAAGCTTCCTCTAGAATTTCCACTCGGACCATAACCAACAGACAAACAGAATCTCTTTGAAGCTCAACTTGCACCCACAAAGCTAAACAGCCTAACAACCCTTTCAGTTACAATAAATTATCAATAACTCAATGATCACTTGCATCACTATTGCTTTAAATAATGCTTTTCCATTTTTGTAGCCATCGCTTAAAATGTTTCCATTTTTGTAGCCATCGCTTAAAATGTTTCCGTTTTATAGCCATCGCTTAAAATACACTTTCGTAAACTCCAGCTGCGTTCTCAGCAGTCCCAAGACTTTTCTGAGCCGATACGCGTCCATCAAAGGGTTGATTCCCGTGCGGGATAAAAGGGTGTACTCACTGTCTTTCACGCAGAAAGCGCCGATAATCCAGAGTGGGAAGAGTGGCACGATGAACACGTTCCAGTGTCTTGCATTCGCGTTGCACCGTAGACTCCTCCCGACGTGCAGCCGAAGGTAAATCATGATCGTTCCACGTGAACTCTCCGCGGCTCGATCATAGCAACCGATAATCAAGCATCGTGATCATCATCCACCAAATTGCACAAAGACTCCGTTTATATCTCCGGCTCACAACTCTCGCGTATCCTCCAGCGTGTCTCTCGAGCACATTTCCCGCATTTTCCTAAACAACGATTAGGCCTAAACAACGCGCACTCAGGATCACTGTTCGCACTCACCGATCAACTCGCGATCACTCTACTGACATCACTCGCACGCGATGAGTGATTGTCAAACTTTCGCGAATATTAGGGGTAGAAAACGGTTAGCGCGCCACTCGCACACAGCGAGATTTCGCTCGCTCGCACTCAATCAGCACCGGCCCGGAGCACACCGCTGCGTGCTGCTATCGCGACCGAGGCTGGTGTCGCCACTGTCGCTTCCAATGCCACCACTACCGATACTACCCCTTCCGAATAAACTACCCCACTACTCCGACAATCCCCTCTACGAGGTACCCCCACTTGGCTGCTACCGCAGCTGCACGATCTGAATCGCGAGATCTACGCAAAAATTCCGAACCTTATTAAGCATTTCAATGGGGATTCGATACATGCTTCTTGACACTATTTTCTGTTGGGGGTACATTTGGAAGGTTGGACCTTTCGTGAGCTTCACTTTGGACCGAGAGATGTATTGTCTGGTTTGATATTCTGAATAGTTTATGTTTATATATATAGTTGCATGTATCAACGTATGAGGAAGAGTTGATAAACGGGGACTTGGTACTATTTTATGCTTTTTGAGTAATCAAGAGAGTATGTAATAAATGTGAAACTTAGACATTTGATAATTTTGATTCTGGACCTAGACATATATCTGGACCTAATCCAGTTGAACACTCTCAACAATTTATGTCTGAACGTATATATGTATATACATATGTCATTTGCATCTATCAGTGTATAAGAATTGATAGATGGGTAACTTGATACTGTTTCATACCTCTTGAGTAATAAACAGAGTATGTGGTGAATTTGGACCATAAGAAGCTACCTGTGATCTCGATTTTGGACCCAGAGATGTGTTGTGTCAAGGTAAACATTCTGCACAATTTATGTTCTGACAGATGTACATACATGTGCACGTAGGTGAAAGAAGAATTAACATATGAGACTTAGTACTACTTTATGCCTCTTAAGAAATAGACAAGAGAGTATATAGCAAATTTGGAACATAAGAAACCTCCTATGATCTCGATTTTGGACCCAGAGATGTGTTGTATCAACATAAACATTCTGCACAATTTATGTTCGGACAGATGTACATACATGTGCACGTATGTGAAAGAAGAATTAACATATGAGACTTAGTACTACTTTATACCTCTCAAGAATAGACAAGAGAGTATATAGCAAATTTGGAACATAAGAAGACTCCTATGATCTCGATTTTGAACCCAGAGATGTGTTGTGTCAAGGTAAACATTCTGAACAATTTATGTTTGCACATACATGTATGTATGTGCATATATGTGAAAGAAGAATTAACATGACACTTAGTACTATTTTATATTACCCAAGAAATAGACAAGAGAGTATATACTAAACTTGAAGTATAAGAAGCTTCCTATGATTTCCATTTTGCACCCAGACATATGTTGTCAACATACTGAACAATTTATGTCTGGACACACATACATCTACATGCATCTATCAACGTAGAAAGTAGAGAATTGCTACTATTTTATACCTCCCAAAGAATAGACAAGAACCATTTATTGTTCTTACAAGGAAAAGGAACATAAGGAACCTCCTATGATCTTCAGTCCCTACCTTGAGATATGTCAAGGTAGACATTCTGAAGAATTTATGTGAAGTATATTACTCACCCTCGTAGATCTATCAATGTTCGAGGGAGGATAGTTGAAGAGACTGATACTGTTTTATGTCCCTTGCAGGCAAGAGAGTGTGTGGTGGAACTTAGGGGACCTTTGATGATCTTGATTCAGATGTAATTGTCAAGATAAGATGTTTCGGGTAATTTATGTTTGGTTTACACCCTCGTATGTTAACAGGAAATTGAACTTGGTGCAATTTTATGTTTCTTAGTAAATTGAGAACATAGTTATTCTGCAAATATTATGAGATTCTTATGTTGAATTTGGAGAACGACCAAATATCTTGATTGTTAATGTTTGAATTATGTTGTCAAGGTAAGATATTCTGAATAATTTATCTTTAAACTGTATGCCATCGTACACTTATTAAGATACAAAGATGTATATTAAATGTACATCTAATAGATGTGTAGGAAGTAGATGAATAGATGGATCAAATAATAAATTGAAGCATGGTAAGGGTGGAATATATTGTCTAATTGTAAGTAAAATATTTAAGGAACGTCGAATGATGCTGAATCTTGACTCTGAAATATGCTATCAAGGTAAGACATATGTGGAACGTCCAATGATGCTGAATCCTGACCCTGAAACATATCAAGGTAAGACATATGTAGAACGTCCAGTGATCCTAATTCTTGACCCTGACACATATCAAGGTAAGACATATGTGGAACGTCCAGTGATCCTGATTCTTGACCTCGAAATATATATTCAAAGTAACACATTTAGAGATCGTTCAATGATCTTGATTCTTAACCTTGAAGCATGTTATCAAGGTAAGACATATGTAGAACGTCCAGTGATCCTAATTCTTGACCCTGACACATATCAAGGTAAGACATATGTGGAACGTCCAGTGATCCTAATTCTTGACCTCGAACTATATATTCAAATTAACTCATTTAGAGATCGTTCAATGATCTTGATTCTTAACCGTGAAATATGTTATCAAGGTAAGTCATATGTAGAACATCTAGTGGTCCTAATTCTTGACCCTGACACATATCAAGGTAAGACATATGTGGAACGTCCAGTGATCCTGATTCTTGATCTTGAACTATATATTCAAAGTAACACATCGCTCGTAACACACATTGATCTCGATTCCTGACCTTAAAAATTTCTTATGAAGACATTTTGAAGAATTTATCTCTGCACATGTGTATACCTATTTACGTATATACGTATCGCCACCGATACCAAAGGGAGGTTCAGCAGATAAGAAGTCTAACTGCTCAGTATCTTCTAAATATGGAGCTCATGGGACCTTAAGGGACCTCTGACGATCCTGATTCCTTACCTTGAAATGTTTTGTCAAGACATTCTGAATTATTTATCTTTGGATACATCGTATACCCGTTAATGTGTAGGGGAGGATTGATAGATAAGAGGCTTGATACTCTTTTTATCTCTCGAGTAATAGACAGGGCTCGGATGTGATGAATATGAAATTTGATTCTTGTCCTTGAAATATTTTGTCGAGACATTTCTGAATTTCTTTTGATTCTGAATAATCTTTGAACATTTATACACTATAAGTACAAAAAGGTAAAGAGAATTGGAGCCTCAGTATTTTTGTTTTCAAAGGGACAGAACAGACTTGCAGAAAACCTTCGATGATCTTCACTCTTGACCTTGAAGTACAGAAACATAGTAAACACTGAACTGTTTGTATAGATACTTCGATTCGGCCATAGTTTTCGAGGTAGTCGTAAAAATACGTTGCTGCAAGAAGTATCAGTGTCAGGATTTATGCATTTGAGATATTGGTTCAGTCGAGTGCATCGTAGACTCTTTGTGTCAGAATCAATATTTCCGACGCTTCTCACATTCCGAAGTTTCTTAAATTTCCAGAATCTAAGATATAATATTTCCAGATTTTTTAATGTTTTAATAGCTGCACGTTCATCTTGCATTTAAATCAGTGAATATACCATGTCAAAAATAATTTTCATATAAAACTTCACATCTACAGTGAACGAAACATGGACATGGTCGAATTTACGATATTGTAGTCAAAATTAGGAAACAATTTCCTAAATTGAACCAATGACGATATTTTATAAATATCTTTAAATACCGAGTTGCAGCTCATTGAATGTATTAATCACAATTTTGGAATTGTAAAAATTTCTCAACAGGTTTGCGTTCAAACAGAATCTTCTTTTACTTGCATTCAACTACAGAAACAAATTGACGATGTTTAATGGTGATCTAACGGTGTTCAAATTAACCAAGTCAACCCTAGATATACACACATATAATGGCTATTTATAAATTGAAACTGAATTACAAAAATAATTAAACAATGCATAGATATTTTAGCTTACAAAATGATTTTTTTTGGACGTAGGTCAAATTTGATAAAAATGTAATAATTTTTAAATATAAATTAAAAAGATGTATTAATATTTTAGTGACAAGTAAATGACCTTAAATCTACAACTTCAGTTTGAAATCAATGAACGTACAAATATGATTTGGTCCTCTTCTTTACTTCACTAAAATTCGTACGTGATCCTCTACATGCTAACTCAACAGCATCCACCAAAATTAAAAAGACGTATTTATATTTCAATGACCAGTGAATGACCTTAAATCTGCAACTTCAATTTGAAGTCAACGAACGTACAAATATGATTTTGTCCTCTTCTTCATTTCACAGAAATTCGTATGTGATCATCCACATACCACCTCAGCATCCACCAAATTAAAAATTCTACTTATATTTTAATAACAAGTGATAGAATTTGCAAGTTCAGTTTTGTCAATGGACATACAAATATGATTTTGTCCTCCTCTTTATCTCATAGAAATTCATACGTGATCATCCACATACCACCTCAGCATCCACCAAATTAAAAATCCTACTTATATTTTAATAACAAGTGATTGAATTTGCAAGTTCAGTTTTGTCAATGGACATACAAATATGATTTTGTCCTCCTCTTTATCTCATAGAAATTCATACGTGATCATCCACATACCACCTCAGCATCCACCAAATTAAAAATCCTACTTATATTTTAATAACAAGTGAATGAATTTGCAAGTTCAGTTTTGTCAATGAACATACAAATATGATTTTGTCCTGTCTTTCATCTGACGAAAGGTCGTACGACGTCGTGGTGCTACGTCGATCGAAAAGAGGCTCTTCGTTGTACGCGCCCGCGCACATACTCTACCTCGCATGCGTATTGAACGCATCGTTCTTTTCTCTCTCCCTCGAACTATTTCGCCGGATGAGGTCGTGTTCGTCGCACCCGCTGGTCCACACTCGCGGGATATCGGCGTCCCAAGACTCCCATGGGTAGCCGGGAAAAAGAAGCCGACCAGTGAACGAGAAGGGGAATTTATGTTAATTTTGAGCATTGCACCGCGGCACTGTTTGAATGTAAGTAGGCGCGACGCCGGTTGATTATAGAGAGAATTGAGCGGAACTATGGTCCGGCTATATGCGACGTACTCGACGTACGCTTCTTTTCAATGAGTGAACTTGAAAATTTTTCCATTAA